CTTAAGCAGGTGGGGCCCAGGTGAATTAGGTCAACGGGGTTCCTACTGAAAGACAGCCCTGTTGGTTCTCACAAGAACCAACTGCTGCAGTTGTGTGTGGCCTCGTCTATATGTGGCCAGTCCTTTTTCCAATTCTTCACCATTTGTCACCTACCCAGAGCCCCTCACCAAAGACCAAAGAGATGCTGCTGCTAAATTTTAGACTTTTATCCTCTAAAACTCTGGACTAAATACTATTACTTTCTTGTTCTATTGCTTAGAGAATGAAAGTAGTTTAAAAAACATACACCAGGGCTGGTGAGATGGCCCAGTGGTCTAAAGCACCTACTTAGAACAAGCTAAGCTAAGCAAAGCACAGGGACCGTGGTTCAATCCCCCAGCACCACATGCCAGCCAGCCCCGCCCCCTGGTGGGCTGGGCTGGGCTGGCCACACACAAAATACGTACATACATACATACATACATACTTATTAAAAAAAAACATACACAAGATGCAGAATTTCACTAAACAAAATAATAGGAATTCAGCAATGGTTATTATATTACATAATGTTGTCTTCAAATCAGTTGTTTGGATTACCAGACATAAGCACACAAAATTGGTAAAAACAAACAGAACCACTTGCTTTCTTAATGAACTATCCAGCCTCGGGTATTTTGTGGTGGCAATGGAGATTTGTGTTACAGACATGAATCTCAAGGGGTACAGATTGAGGCTCACCTTCGGCTGCTTTACCACAATCAGAAATAAAAAGTAAGGCAGTGTCCCTAGGTAGAGGGTGGGCTTGCAGTGGGCTGAGGGCCAATGACAGAGGAGCACTAGGAAGGACCTGGACCTGGGCATGTAGATTCCTGATCAACAAGGCAGGAAAAGTGAGGAAGCAGGTCTAATAATCCAAGTATGGCTGGCAGGTGTGGAAGCCAACAGAGTCACTGGAAGGTGAATAAAACACTCTAGGGAGTTTTTCCCTTGTTGTTAATGAACTATGATTATGATTATGGATTATGATGACCCTTTTGCTGATGCCACGGGCCCTAATCATCAGCCCAAATGGAGATAGTCTTCACTGTGAGCACACAGAAATCCCTGTCTAAGCGAGATCCCCAGACTCAATACATAAGGGAGCAAAAGTTTGTTCTGTGTGAGAAATATGGCAAACTACACAAGTGCAATCAGGAGCTGGGGGGGCAGTGCTAAGGTGAGACCATGGGGCAGAAGAGAGAACCCCTACTCTTGCCGGCATTTATTGTGACTCCATCAGAGGCCCGTCTGACATCCAGAACTTTACCTCAATAAGAATGGAGAGGTGTCTTTCATGTCCATCCCTGGAGTGGTTGCCTGGGGTGGGGGGATCATTATTCTGACCCCCCAAATGGAAAGTGGTATGCAGACTCTTGTATGTGACTCCTGAAGGGCCCGTGGAATCCACACCTGGCTTCCCAGGAGTGAAAGCTTGAGCCTGCTCCACAGATCAGCCGCCCAGGGGCAGGTGGATCCCTGGAGGTTCTCATGAGGGTGAGAATCAGCAGTCAGGAGGTCCCTGCTTTTCAAACACAGGGGCCCAGATTTGAGGCACCTACGGGGAGAACGGAAAAGGAGGAAAAAGGAGGGAGAAAGAGGAAGAAGAAAAGGAGGAGAAAGGAGCGGCAGTGGAGGGGACAAGAAGGGGAAGAAGAGTGCTGAGAAGGGAGGAGGAGGGAAAGAAGGACGGCTTCACAGGAGACTACCGAGGAGTGGCACACTGCCCTGGGCTGTCAGCTCTCCTCGACTATGGGCTTTCTGTCTGCGATCTTTCAGTCAGCATCATTAGCTCGAGATTCCTTGTGCTGGGGCACATGCCAGCACTTTTTCCTTGCTACGTACTAGTGTCCCACTGATGGATACACACAACTTCCTCTGTGATGTGTCTAAGGCTTGCTCGCAGTTAGGCCTAGCTACGTTCTATAAATATCATTGTACAAATATATACTCTTTCTCCCGGGTAAATGCCAAGGAATGGTAACGAAAAGCGCTAAGGGCGAGCCTGCACTCGACTATTAAGACACTCAGAATGTCATCCAAAGGGGCTGTCCCATCCTACACCCTCACCGAGAGCGGGCAGGAGCCCCGGATGCCCCCACAACCTCTCCAGCACTCAGAGTGACTGCTCTTTCACTTCAAGCACTCTGCTTTCATCTCATGGCACTGTGGCTCCCCTTTGCATCTCTCTGCTGACTCATGAAGTACATCTTCATGTACTTATTCAGAACCTGCATGTCTCTGATAGTCTGTTGAAGTCCTGGGCCCACTTATACATATTAGACTGATTTCTTTCTTTCTTTTTTTGGTGGAACCGGGGATTGAACTCAGGTCCTTGCGCTTGCCAGGCAAGTGCTTATTCCACTGAACTATCTCCCCGGCTCCTTAGACTGATTTCTTATTGAGGTGTGTCCTGTTGGTCCCCCCGCCCCTCAGCACTGCAGACAGAGCACAGAGGCACTCTACCACTGAGGTAAACCTCAAACCCTTTTTGAACTGCTTTTTTTTAAAAATTTTTATTTTATTTTTATTTTATTTTTATTTATTGTGTGTGTGTGTGTGTGTGTGTGTGTGTGTGTGTGTGTGTGTGGCCAGCTCAGCCCACCAGGGGGTGGGCTAGCATGTGGTGCTGGGGGATCGAAGCACGGTCCCTGTGCTTTGCCAAGCTTGTTCCAAGTAGGTGCTTTAGACCACTGAGCCATCTCGCCAGCCCTTGAACTGCTTTTGAGGCAGTCTTGCTATAATGCCCAGGCTGACCTCCAATGTCCCGTCCTCCCGCCACTGATTTTTGAGTAACCGGGAGTACAGATGTGCACCGCCATGTCCAACTCTTGAGTTCTTATATATTTACAGAACATATATATACTCAGTGAGCTCCTATTCTCTGTAAATATATACACATACATGTGGACATGATGCTATCCTATACTTTCCATATATCTGTATATCCAGTCTGTAAATTCCTGACCACACATATGATTTTTCCTCCAGGACATGGCTCGGGCAAGGGAGCTCTTCATCCTACCTTCTCAGTTTGCATCACTGCAGATGCATGTTCGTAGCTTTGAAGATTAGGACACGTCTGGGTAAGGTCCCAGTTCAGCCAGCCTAGTGCTGCATGCAGCCGGCACAGAGCAGCCGCAGACCTTGTGCCCATGAAGGAAGCCTGAGATGCTCCATGTGACTTGAGGCCTTCATCCGGATCTAGAGAGCAGGGGGTGAGAAGTCAAAAGATCCAGCCCTCTCTCCCTCCCTTGGCCCAAGCTGACTCATCTGCCTCTTCCTGAACCCACACCAGCTCCCTCATTCTGAACTCAGCGTCTGAAAACTTTACACCCTGGGAAGACCCAGCATGGTTTGACAGTTACAAGGATGCCCAAGCGCTCAGTTGGACTTGCCTTAGTTGTGACCCTTGGAGCTCATCAAGATGGGATAGGGAGATAGGGAGACAATCTGGTAGTCTAAGCACCTGCCTGCAAAGTCCAAGGTCCTGAGTTTAATCCCCAGTACTGAATGCCATACCTGCCCTGAAACCAGGTGTGGTGGCACATGCCTATAGTCCCAACACTGGGGAGGCTGAGACTGGAGGATCACTATGAGCCTGAACTGTGTAGCAAGTCCCTGTATCAAAGAAAAAAAAAAAAAAAAAAAAAGATGAGACAGAGAGTTTCCTCAGAATGCAGTTTCTTAGCACCGGAACCAGACTGGGTTTATGCTGGAACAGCGATCTGCAAAAACACACTAGCAGGCAGCTGGACGAGAGCTGGACCTGGGCCAAAACACAGACTGCAGGGACACACACGCACACCTCTTTCCTCGGTATCAGATGCTGCTGAGCTCGGTGTAGGACCCTGCATGCCAGTTCTATCCAGAGGAGTTTCTAGCCATGGGCGAGCACTGAGAAGAGCGCTGTGACAAGGAGCAGACGCAGACTGCAGCCTTCAGATATGTGTTCTGCTGCAGACTAGCGCCTCCGTGGCCAGAGATGCAGAGGCCCAGCAAGGCTTCGCCAGACGATGGTGTCTTCTACCAGACAGTAGCTTCTCAGGAGGGCATCGCCAGACCCTACAAAGGGCAACGAGTGTTGAGGGTGGGAAGGTGCCCAGGGCCTCCAGCGCAGGCTGAGAGGCTTGACTTTACCCTGACAGCCCTGGGAAAACATCAAAAATCTTGAGAAGGGAAGAGACAACATTAGATCGGGGAACTCTGTGGAAAAGACTCGGGGTGGTGAATGGGGCTTGGAGGAAGGAAAGTCATAGAAATATGCGGTTTCTTCGTTTTGGAAGTCAGGGTCTACAGTCTCTGATAAACGAAGTCTTCTCTCACCTGTCTACCATCTTGGACAGCACTTCCATTTATACGGGAAGGGATTGTGTAGTGGTCTCACGGCTGCCCATACACACGGCTGCGCAGTCACTTGCATTCATTACCCAGAGCCAAGACACGTGCAGAAAAAGCAAACCACCAACTGCTGACGGCTGATTCTCATACAATCCCTTCGGCCTCACAGCTCCCCCATACCCGCCCTTCTACCTGCGCAGGCGCACCGTTCCCAACGCTACCCCAATGCTACCACTTCAACTCCATCCGCCAAATCCTCCCACTGACCACCTTCTAGTCCCACAAGCAACCCTGCTTTAAAGGGTAGAAATCATACGCTCAGTAAGCTCTTCAACGGTCTATACTAATCCCGCAAAAATAGGAAATCAGCATGATGCAACTGAGCCTCTGCGGCAATCAGCACGGCGACAGCAAGCTGCCCCATCAACCATTACGCACAGCTCCACCTCGCCTCTGGACCGTGCGCAGACGCAGAAAAACGAGCGGGCGATGGAGTGAACCTCGGAACGCATGGGTTGCTGGGAGTCGTAGGCCCAGCGGACCAGAACGCACAGTCGCTCTGGAGAAGCTGTTGCATTCTGGGAGTCGATGGCAAGGCAACCCCAAAGCCTTGTGGGAGTCGTAGTCTCGGAGCTACTTCCGCGTCTGGAACCCTCATGGTTGGAAGTTTGGAAGTACTGAGCCGAATTTCTCCCAGGTGAGTCCGTCCCACGCGCATCGGTGCCCTCGCTGCCCAGCGTGTGGCGGTACCTTGGGAGATCTGAGGGTCTTTCAGAGGTGGTGACACTCATTTCTGTGATTTCCAAGGCCTGCGTCCCGCACGCGTCTAGCCCCTCTCACCAGATTAGTCTCTTCTGTTTGGGTACAAGAGCATCTGCCTGCCCCTGCCCCAGGAGCTACATCAGGAGGTCTCTCACCTGCCCTAGAACCTCTGCCCGGGTGGAGCCACGGAGGACTGTCTTTCTGACATGGCTGGATTCTGGAGGTGACCTTAGGGTCTGTGTCCTGTCTGTGCACACGTAACTAGTCCCTCATCGCGGCCACCTACTAAGCCCAGCTCTGTGCAGCCCAGGTCAGCTTTCCCTGCCGGCTGCCGTAGCCCTGCACACTGGCCTTCTGTTTCTGCCTTTACCTGTAGAGTCTTCGTCACACAACAGGTAAAAGCATTTTGAAAATCTGTCCGATCTCATTACTTCTTTGCCCCAAGCCCTATCATGGAAACTGTCACCCTCTGAATAAAGGTAAAATTCCACATCACGGTCAATGAGACTTTGCCGAGGTGTACAGCCTCATCTGGCAGGACCCTCACTGAAGGTAGGGACTCTCTAAGATCAGGTGGCCATCGATTCAGAGGGTGATACCTGAGTGCGGACTAACTTACGCCCTGTGCTGCAGAAGTGAGTGGAAGACGGCGGGGGCTCTGAGGACCCGAGAACAGCACTGAGGAAGAAACGGGTCGGGCTAGAGCATCCTAGCAGCCCTCCCCACCCACTCAGGGATATTTGGAGGGTGGCCTGTGGGTGCATTTGAGGATCACAATTCAGAGCCACCCACGAGTGACAAGAGGGTGCCAAGCGGGACCTGAGAACATGAAGACTGCTTTGCAAAAGGCACTGAAAGAACTCTTTTAGACATGAAAGGGAAGGCTGGGTCAGAAGCCAGGGCAGAAAAGGTGTCAAGGGGCGTTGCTCAGCACTTATGGGTATTCCTGATGAGCAAGGGCTGTCTGGTGCATCGCACACTATACTCCGAGCAGAGGCAGGCATGTTCCTTGTGCTCTTGAGAGGCTATCGTGCTTGGGAGGGTAAGAGGTCAGCTAAACAGAGCCAGGTTGCTAGGGCCTGGCATTTGCTCCTGTGGGACAAGATCCACAGACAGATGCTACGTGTGGAAGGGCTGTGTGGAAGAGAGGAGGCGGAGGCAGGGAGATCAGTGAGGTGCTTCCTGCAACGGTCTGGGAGAGAGGTGACCCAAAGAAGGACGCCAGCAGTGGAGATGGAGTTTGGCTGCTGTTCTGTTTTACAAACAGGATTTGCCATGTTCTCTTTGAGGATCTGGAATTTGAGTTCTGAGGATACCGCTGGAAAAAAGGTCAGAATTTGACCTTAAAATCTGGAGTCACCTACACAGGGAGTGACAGGAGTAGTGAGAGAAAGAATAGCCCTAGCTTCCCAGGCTCCAACCTTCTGCCCTCAAAAACTAAAGTACGGAAGTCCCTTTTACTGCAGAAAGCCCATTTGGTTCAAGGAATCAGGGATTTGGGGTTGGTCCCTGGCCTTGTGAAGGTTACAGATAGTAAATGCTGACATAAAATTACAGGGCGAAGGGAGCTGGTGCTCTCGAGTTGAGGGGTAAGCAGATATTGTGACAGACCCTAGCTGGTCAGGCATGGCCTGCTCTGAACAATGAGAAGCTCAAGGTGGACATGATGTTGGCTTGGAGATGGGTACTAGGATTTTCTGTGTTCGCCAGGCAGGCAGGGCCAAGGAAAGTGTGGCTGGAAGGCTGGGGTCACGGCTGGGTATGGAGGGATGTGGCAGAAAAGTAGTGAACCCAAAGGGTCAAGGATGGGCTCAGCCCTGTCACCTTGAGGCCAGAGAAGCTTGCACGCCTGAAAATGTAGAGCCTGGCTACGGGTAGAGCTTCTGTCTCTGGAGGAAGTGATCACCCTGCCTTTCAGAAGAACTGAGGAGGACCGATTCCTGGACAGGGTGTCCTGTCCCCCAGAGTGAATCCTATTGATCCTTTAGGTTTATCCACCTTCCCCCAACAGAAGCGCAGCCCCTTGGCCTCCCTCTGGCCTTAAGAGTCTCTGACTCGCTCCTCTCCTGAGTCTCAGATACCCAGAGGCTCTCGTCACTGACAGCCACCTTGTCCCTTAGGTCAAGGCTGCAGCAAGGAGCTGTGCAAATAACTGGTCCTTCCAGGCACTGTTGTCCCTCAGGAATGGACGAACCTAATTCTGAGTATAGCCTGCTTCTGTCCTCCTCCTTCCTCCTGAAACCACCTCTTCTTTTGGTGCATAAGGGGTGTAATCCAAGAAGTCTTTCCGGAGATGGTGGAATCCTTCCCTGTAACTCAAGTATAAACTTCCACCCCCAGCGTGGGACAAAGCTGCTCCCCGTGCGCACATTGTCCCCCGGTCCACTGCACATAGGACGCCATCAGGCAGCCTCCCCACAATTCAAGGTTCATGTGTCATCCTCCTCTCTCCCATCCAGGAGTTGCCACCCAGGCCGGTGACCCCGCGATGCCCGCCCCGACCTGCGCCTCCTGCCACGCGGCCCGTGCCGCCCTCCGCCGCCCGCGCTCGGGGCAGGCGCTGTGCGGACCCTGCTTCTGCTCTGCCTTTGAGGCCGAGGTGCTGCACACGGTGGTCGCGGGCCGTCTGCTGCCGCCGGGCGCCGTGGTGGCCGTGGGCGCCTCAGGGGGCAAGGACTCCACCGTGCTGGCGCACGTGCTGCGGGAGCTCGCGCCGCGCCTGGACATCACGCTGCGGCTTGTGGCTGTGGATGAGGGCATCAGCGGCTACCGGGATGCAGCGCTGGCGGCCGTGCGGCGCCAGGCGGCGCGCTGGGAGTTGCCGCTCACCGTCGTGGCCTACGAGGACCTCTTTGGGGGCTGGACCATGGACGCTGTGGCCCGCAGCACGGCCGGCACGGGCCGCAGCCGCTCCTGCTGCACCTTCTGTGGGGTCCTGCGGCGCCGAGCGCTGGAGGAAGGGGCGCGCCTCGTGGGAGCCACGCATATTGTGACTGGTGAGAAAACGCAGTGGAGGAAGTGAACGCGTGTGATATATTGGGCGCATGCGCAGGAGAGCTGCGGGCCCTGAAAGGAGCCCAAGGGGAGTAACCTCGGCAGCACAGGTATTGTTTGCATGCTCCAGTTTGGGTCTGGAAGCCACCTCGAAGTCTCCAGAACTAGGGGATAATAGCACCAGACAGAGCATTATTAGGAAAACTTAGGCCTGGCCACCACTCTGGTCTACACAAATTGGCCAAAGAGTCAGAATGCAGAAGTTAGTTCCAGGGCCGGCCAAGTAGCTCAGCGGATCAAAGCCCGCGCAGGGGCCCGGGTTCCATCCCAAGCCTACCATGCCGGCCCTGCCCTTGGGGCGCGCTGAGACAGCAATTGAGACTGGGCGTGTTGGCGGGAGCCTGTAATCCCAGCGCTTGGGAGGCTGTAAACAGGCAGATAACTCCAAGTCTGATCTAGTAGTGAGACCCTGAACACCCTGTAGACCCTTCCCTAAGAAAGAAAAAAGTTAGTTCCCGGGATCCAAAGTCCTTTACGTTTTCAAAATTGTTTCTAACATTCTTGGTTGTCTTTCTCATCCCTGTGCCAGACCCAAACTGACCACGGCAAATTTGTTAAGTTCTCTGCGCTTCTATTTTCTCATCCCTAAAATAGGAGTATTAGCCCAGTGTATCAGTGTGCACGCGTCATCTCAGCGCTGACGGAGGCTGTGGCAGGAGGATTCCATTTCCAGGAGTCCTGCCTGGGCAATCTAGGGACTTAGCAAAACCCTATCTCACAGAATAAAAAAGGCCTGGAATATACCTCAGTGTGAAGGCCGGGGGGGGGGGGGGGGATGTATATGGATAGGTATGTTAATGACACCTAACTCATACTTTGATTACGACAATAAAGGAGTTGGCAGGAGTGCACAATGTGCACATCTCTTTTGTAGGTGTAAATATAGATATTTTCATTATTATAATTACACTGACAGGGGCTGGCGAGATGGCTCAGTGGTCTAAAGCACCTACTTAGAACAAGCTTAGCAAAGCACAGGGACCGCGGTTCAATCCCCCAGCACCACATGCCAGCCAGCCCCGCCCCCTGGTGGGCTGAGCTGGACACACACACACACACACACACAAATAAATAAAAAATTAAAAAAATAATTACACTGACATACAATGTAATGAAATACATACACATGCAATGACATTGCCTGTCTGTAATGGTAGCATCATTCCTGCACTAGGGCTAAAAATACAGTTGTGCACAAGTTCCGGTTTTACACAGTTTCCATATACAAAATTATAAATGTGACAGAAGAAAATTCGGGGGCCAAGATAGTTAGAAGTCCTGAGATCTGAAGGCTTCCAGCCAAGGGAGGCAGGATGGTGGAGGAGGAAACCAGTGAGGCCAGTCTGGGCGCCCAAGACGTCCAGCATGGCTGGAGCCCAGTAGAAAGGGGAGAGGAGGCTGGAGATTTAGGAAGGGTCAGGACCTTACCCTTGAGGCCGTGGGGATTCTGATCAGTGTGAGAAGTCTTTGAAAAGCTCAGGAGAGCTGTGGGGAGGAGCCTGAATTGGAGAGGCAAGGAAAAGGCCAAGGAGACTAGGGAAGAGGGAGGCAGCCATTGTCATCTAGTGAGAGAGGGTGGCAGCGGGAGACCAAAGGGACACTCAACAAGGGTACAGAAGCCAAGGCACCTCTGCGTCTCCCTTCCCACTATGCTGGGGCACAGGCTGTGAGCATGGCAGTCTGGGCCCCACTCATTACTTTAGTGCCTGCCTCGCTCTGTAAATCTGGACAAAGCCCAGCATCTCACTAGGCCTTAGCTTTCTCTGATGGGAAGTGAAAGAATAATCCTTTCCATGGAAAGCTGGTCAGTATAGGGGGAATGGAAAGTTGCTTTAGGCCTTAAAGCTAATTAGTTAGAATCACACTAATTGTGCTTGTAAAGATAATGAAAGCATCCAGAAAAATCCCTAACTTGTAAGAAAGATAATTATTCTTTGTTTATACAATCTGTTTTCAAAAGCATTTTGCAATAATTATTCTGATTATTGAACTCCTAAGTGGATTTTTAATGACAAGGTACAGAGTAGACCCAGCCTCCTGTGAGTAATGCAGTTTATAATTTAAAGTCACCAGACTTTGGGACAGTAAACATTTATCAGGACATAGTTTTGGGGAACAAAGACATCTGCTTCCAAGATCCTGGCCTTAGCAAGTACCTTTATTTTCTTTTATTGCCTTTTTTTTTTTTTAATGCCAGGGATCAAACTTGGGACCTAGCATTTGCCAGGCAGGCACTTGTGCCACTGAGCTATCTCCTTGCCAGATACCTTTAGAAAGTAACTGTTACTAAAAACAAACCTAGAGGGGCTGGAGAGATGGCTCAGTGGTCTAAAGCACCTACTTAGAACAAGCTTGGCAAGGCATC